TGCATGTCTCTGGATCGTTTTGAAGTAATTTAAAGTTTTTAAGAATGATGGATTTAACTGAGTGGTTGTGAGGGTGAAACGTGAGAGTGAATGGAATGCGATCGGAATCTTCCTTTTGTGATGTTTGTAGTGCTGAATGTCGATCAATAAGTTGGGCGCGGTGGTAACCCGCTTGAATGACAGAGTCAGGGTAACCACGTTTATCGAAAAACTGGCACATTGACTCTGATTTGTGGTGGAAATCAGAGTCATCACTATATAAATGACAAAGTCTTAGAAACTGAGAAAAAGGAATGGAATTCTTAATGTGAGAGGTGTGCGAAGACGAATACAACAAGTAATTATGCGAGTCTGTAGGTTTGTAATACATACTAGTGCATAAACCATTGCCTTCAATTGAAGACATTATTTTCAGCATTTTTGGTCAGAAGTTCTTTTCAGACTAATGACCAACCAGGCACTTTTAAACACGCTCGTGCACGATGCAAAATGTGTCCTTTCATTCACAACACTGAGAAAATAACGGGAACCAAACGATCCATTAAGATCACCGATCACTTCACTTGCACCTCCGCCAATGTAATTTATTGCATAACTTGCACTTATTGCAAAAAGATTTACATCAGCGAAACAGGCAGAAGACTAGATGACCAATTCCGAGAACACCTTTGCGACGTGGAGAGGAATGACAAGGACACATCGAAACCAGTGGCTAGACATTTTAATTTACCCAATCATTCTAAGCAACATATGGCAATCTGTGGTCTTTCCTTACACTTAGGTAGCACGGAAAGCTGCAAAACTATTGAACAAAGGCTCATCTTTCAAACCTTTCAGTCTAAATCCCACAGGTATCAACGAATGCTTTTCATTCCACTAATTTATTCATGTTTTTCTTGTTGCCATGTTCCTACCAATCACGTAGCTCCATTTTCTCCCTTTAAAAGCACACACAACCCACAACTCCTCTATTTGCTCCGACGAAGAGCTAACGCTCGAAACGTCAGCTTTTATAACCCTAACGGTGGCCGATTTACCATTTCAACTTTGTTGATATATTCAAATTATTCGTTACACCCAACGATGCAGCGCCAAACAGTTTCTTTAGAAACTATCGACCTTTAATATCAAACTTCCTTACCTTTATGTAGTTGACAAATTCTTCAAGGAGTGCTTCAGACTAGGAGAAATACACCATAAAAATAGTTAGATACATATTGGAAAAATAGATTTTCAGTATGAGTTAAACCAAAATAATAATAAAAAAATAGTTTCCAAATCTATTCTGATCAATATTTGATACTTAGTTTAATAGTATGGCAGGCTGTTTGTAGCAATTTTCAATAATTCTTTCATTCAACCATTCAACTGCAATTCAACCGTTCAATTCAACTCGCATTCAACACCCCCATTCAACCATTCAAGAATTTATTCAACTATTCAACCCCAATTCAACTATCCAACCCCAATTCAACTATCCAACCCCAATTCAACTATGCAACCCCAATTCAACTATTCAACCCCAATTCAACTATTCAACCCCAATTCAACTATTCAATAGGCCCTTTGCCCCGCATTCAACCATTCAATCATGCATTCAGACCCGATGGTTGCAGGACTGAGTAACCTGGCACAATTACACGAAAGACGTCCTAAGACGTCTGTTATGTTAACTTGGAAATATTGTACACAGTAAATATTCCTTCGATTGACATTTACAGCAATGAAACGTATTTCTTCAGACAGTTTCAATAAAAGAATTAAATCAAAATCAAATTAAAAAGACCAAAAAATTTTGTTAGCTAGAGACACACATTAAGATGGGCTGCCTGTGGTTTCCCAAAGTTCTTTGCAGAAGTTCCTCAAGTGTTTCAGAAGATATGTCGTATGATGGCCTCCCGGGTGAAGAAATATTTGCTTGTCTGTTTGAGCCCAAGTTAGCGACAGTTATTGTGGTAATGGAAGCTAGAGGCAATAAATGGTTCCAGCATATCATCAAAAGTGGACGTAATTTTTGCAACTTTGTTTTCTCGTTATCTTCAAACTGGAAACAATCTTCCAGCTTTCTTAACAAGGAGATTGTTTTGTCAAGTGTTATGGCATGCTTTTCCAATGGTTCCACCTCGAAAGGAATCTTACATAACTGAGTTGTCTTGTTTAGGATGTGGTTTAAAAAACTGGGTATTTCTGTTAGCTCAGCTGTGCATCTGCCGCCATCTTACTTTCTATGATAACTTAGGTTTCAGGCTCCAGCTCGGCTGTCTTTCGTGCCAGGTTCCCCAGTCCACCAGTTGAATGGTTGAATGTGGGATTGAATGGTTGAATGCACGATTGAATTATTGAATTGGGATTAAATAATTGAATTGGGTTGAATAGTTGAATTGGGGTTGAATAGTTGAATAGATTCTTGAATGGTTGAATGGGGGTGTTGAATGGGGGTGTTGAATGGTTGAATTGGGGTTGAATTGAACAGTTGAATTGCAGTTGAATGGTTGAATGAAAGAATTATTGAATATTGCTACAAACAGCCTGCCATACTGCCATAGTTTAGTCATTAACATAACTCTTGAAGTGCAAAGCTGAAAGTTACATGATTTACAATCATGGAAAAAAGTAGTCATCACTTTGAACAGCGTCAGTGCTGTGAATCATAAAATGATAGATTTATTCTCTCCTAAATAGTTCCTTGCCCTTTATTTACTGTTGGAATCAAACAGAACAGTCATGGTCTCAAACAGGTCTGTTTTGTAACACACAATGGACTAGGGCTGCATTTTGAAGAGAAGGTAACTGAGAAAAGAATAACTGTACAGTAATGCCATTCAAACAACAAGCACAGAAGCCATTATGGACTCACATCCAATTTATTGGATTAAATAAATACTACAAGAAATCTCTGCTGGCATAGGCTTACTTCTTCTGCTGTCTCACCAACACCTTCTTCTTCAACTGTAAATTGTTCTTTTAACAACAGATATTCTTCATGCTCTTTAAGTTCTTGTTCCTCCTTTCTCTTACGTTCCTCCTCTTCCTAAAATGAGTATTGTATCAAATTAGAAATATACAATACTGCAAGATCAATGGGCTCCAACACAAACTTTAGATTTTGCATTTGTCACACAATGAGGCTAATTGACTTTGGCTCAAAAGTTCTAAGTAATATGTGTGTTGGTACAGTATGGTTTACTGTAGTCTCTTAAAAATACACATCAGTTGGTAACGGAAAACAGGCTTGTGTTATCCCTTTTTTATCTGAACTATGATTTGTTATTATTTTTTTAATATTAAGCCTTTTTTACATCCTAAATATAACTTTTGTACATCAGCCAAACCTGTTTGGCTGATGTGGAAGAGAGTTTGTTGTTAAATTTCCTCTTGAAGTAAACAAGAATCTTCTTTCCTTATATTTAATGAATAGTTGTTTGAAAGACACCATCAAGTAAGACAAAGTGAACTCATAAAATAATTGATTTACCTCTTCCAAATCAGTTCAACAGAATAGTGTGAATTGGTAAAAGTAAAAAATGCAGAACTTGAATATAATCAGCCTGAATTCAAAATTGTCCAGAATGCAAAAAGTTAACTTAGGTCTTAGTAAATCACACTTCAACTTAGGTTCCAAAAGTATTCACTATGGCCTGTTTGCCAGAGACCCTTCCATTAAAAATAAAATTACAGTTGACCCTCTCCACAACAGCCACCTTGGGTACCAAAGAAAGTGGTCGTTGTGGAGAGGTGGCCCTTATTGGGAGATAGAGGTGTAATGTATGGACAGCCCATCGGGACCAAAAAAAAGTCGCCATTATGTAGAGGTGGCCATTAGTATTGTAGAGAGGTTTGACTGTAGTTGAAAAATACTCTTAAAAAAAACATTTCCTTTTTCATGGTGGTGAATTCCAACCTAAAAATTACAAACCTGTCTTTCTTCTTCTCTCCTCCTTCTTTCCTCGTGTCTCTTCCTTTCTTCTTCACGTAATGCTTCACGCTGCTTTTTGTCTTCTCTCTCAGCTTCCATTTGCTTTCCAAAGAGAATTGCATTTCATTAGTTGCATACACTACATCAACAATTCAACCTTCTGCAAATGGTGACAACAAGTCTACAAGGGCATCAGGTCATATACTTATAATGAATTTTGCACTATATATTAAGTACTAAATTTATTACAATTTAACTACCATCTATAATCCTATGAGCATGTAAGACTAGTGTAATTCAGGTACAAACAAATCAATCTTGGATAAATAATTGTCTCCACTAGTTCATATCCTCATATGGAAGTGATTCAAATTCAAAATTGCATTCTTGCCTGATTCTGGATCATTTCAAGAATCCAGGATCAAGTTTTGAGTCAAGCCTGTCAACTCACTTTGGAGAGGTAGTGTCATTAGCTTAATAAAGCTTTCTAAGATTACTTAAGATTAAGTAGAGGGTGGTTATTCTGGTGCAGGTAAAAATTATATATCAAATGTAACCCTTCTACTCTTAGGAGGGTTCAATCATACAATCTCCTTCAAAGGTCAACACACTGTTGAGATGTAGAATGGTTCAACTAAATTATCAGTCAGAATCTAGCAGGTCATGTTAGCATAATTTAACTTGAAATTCTTACAGACACTCAACAAAGAAAAAAAAATGGTATCTAGAGATTTTGCTCTTTTGCAAGTTAGCCCCTGCCACCTTTGTGAGTTTGTCCTCTGAAGTGAAATAAGTTTGCCCCCACCTTTACCCCTTTGCTCCCAAATGTTTCTTTTTGTTTCCTCATGGCAGGATATACTGCTTCCTTTTCTAAAAAAATTAATTATAAGAACAATCATCTATAAACAATAATATTTATACCTCTCTGAGTTGTCTCTTCTCCTCTTTCATCTCAAGTTTCCTTTGTTTTTTTGCTCCAATCTTTCCCACAGGCAACTGGCTGTCCAGCCCCATGGAGTAACCTTCTGTCCCTGTTACAAGAGATACATTCAAATTTGAAATTGTCACAAGTACTCCAAGTAAAAGAGGCAATTCAAACCAATGAAATAAATATCATATCTTTTATCCATCACCTTCGTAATCGTCTTCATCTTCATCATCATCTTGTGCTCTTCTTGATGTCATGAGTGAACGAGCTGTTCTTCCACGTCTCCTTGCTCCACCACCACCAACTTCCCTAACATTGTCTGGTTGGTCTGGTTGTCTAGATACACCTGAAAAATAAACGCATTAAAATAAATCTATCATCACATTTTCTCTAGTTTACTTGTTATCAATCCATGTAGCAACAGAGGTCTGTACGCTACACACCTTATTACTTGTTATTGAAGTACATGAAAAATACACTCATTATTATTGTGGGAAAGCCACAGTCCCAAGGGCAATCTTTGTTTTCGCCACTGTTTTCTTTATACAGAACTGTAATCACAACGAAGTACGGGACTGAGCGCAAATCTTACCCATTAAAATCCAGAATTGGTTAAAATAGGGAATAGTGTACTGCAATTCTCTTAAAGAAGAAAAAAAATCTGGTCACCGTCATACGTTACTTTCGCATTTTAAGATTTTATATATTCCTTTGCTCAAATCTACTTCCCCGATATTTTTCTTTCAAAGCGATCTCGAATTCCTCCTTTATCGAACTGCTTTTCATCATCAAACACGATGTTCAACTGTGTCCTTCAACTCGTGAATGAATAAGTTTAGTGCATACGTAGTCTATCTGATGTATTCAAGTTCCTCGAAATGAACAAATGCTTATGCTTGTTACTGATTTTATTTCCGATAATATTTAAAGAAATAGTAACAAACCAACCTTTCTTATTTTTCTTTTTGTTTCTGTTCGCCACATAAGTGGCTATGAGTAAAATTATTCCCACAACTGCCGCTATTATCAGCCAAATTACTGCCGCGTTCTGCACCGCCATCTTGATTTTCTTTGCTACTATCCGAGATACACTGGGACTAATAGGGACCTGCTGGGCCCAGTTGTTCAAAGACCGATTGGCTCTGTTTCTAAATTCTCTTATCAAAAGCCATTTTGGGATAATTTTCCTAGTTCTTTTCAGGACATTCAATCATCAAATTGTAGACAAATGGAATTAAGCTGAATTTTCTTTCAGAGCTTTCAGATCTGAAATCAAATTTCACACTTACCGGGGGTTATCTTAGCACAGCTTTGAACAACCCGGCCCTGAAGAATCGAACAAATCTGTGAAGCGGACGTAGACCGGAAGTACAAATCTGCATAATTAACTTTGGTTGCCCCTGGTCACCGTTCTAGCCTCTCGTCTTGAGGACGTTCCCGACGACAAACTGGGGCAAGTCCCGTTTCGTCGAAACGACAGTAATTTTCGATTGTAAGTTTTCTTAAGGTAAGAAAAAAACTCGAGAGAACCCACGATCAATACTAACGAATGTTGTTTATCAACATAAATCCATGTAACTCAATAATATTATTGCGAAAACGGACCCTCACTGTTTGTTTACTTTTAAGCCGTGCCGAAAAATTATGGCAAAAATATTCATCCGTGAAAAGCACTTGTTGTCCTCCAAGGTTTGCTTAATTTTTCCTATGTTTAGGCATCACCAAAATAGACTAGTTATCATTAGTGTTTTAATGGCTGTCTTAGTTTAAACAAGCGATATGTAGTTTTGAAAGGAGAACGGAAACCATTGTAAATTATTGTAACTAGCGCTTTTCGAGTTTTCTTGCTAATCCATACGAAACTTCCTAGTTATGTAACCTACCGGGTAAATGCGCAAAATAACCTCTCGTGTATTTATTGTTTTTCGGCTGGCTTTCAGTTAATTTAAAGTGTTGTTCCTGTTTAATAATTTCTAAATTGCGTTCGTACGGTTTGGGAATCGCTAGTTGTTTCTTGCAACCGCACGATTATAATTTGCACAAATTACATTTTTTACAACTGTTGTAAACTACTCAGCGTACGTGAATGTAATGCATAACGTGTAAGCATTGTGACTTTCGTTTCTTTTCTAGTGTATTCATTTTAAATTACGTTACAGTAAAAGAACAACAGCAACAGCAACAACAGCAGGCTGAACTTTTCCTGAAACTTTTCGAGAAACTAGAAAAAAAAGGAATTTCTTTTATCTTTCTGAGCTTATGAAGAACTTGTCATTTGAATCTTCCTAACAGCCATGAAAAAAAAATATTGTATTATGTCCCTGCAATCAAGTTGTGAGATATTTTTATGCCTGTGATAAATTATTTTGGATTAATTATTGTGCTTGAAAGAAGTGCCTATGTTATTTCCTGAAAGCTTATTTGATGAAAACTTATCGTGTTCAGATATATGGCATAAAAGACACAAACATCATTGGACCAGGCTAGCTAGAATCACCTCATATTCAATAATATCAATGTTGTTAAACAGAAATGAATCAAAGGCTCCTGTAGCATTTTTAGTAACTACTAAACATAGTTTCTTTCTTATTGATGTCTTTTAGACCTTATTCAGTCTATGTAGTATAAAGAACTGGCTCACGTTCTCAAACTTCAACTCGTTTAATTGGAACATTGTGAATTCACAAGCGGCCATGACGAGGAAAACCAGAGAGAGTCAAAACAAGTTGGCGCGCACGCGTAAATACTGAACTCTGATTGGACGCTAAGACAATGCAATATCGTCACACCCTTCCTTGTTTTAAGAAAAGAAAGTAATCACTTCGTAACAGGAACGAACAAGTAGCTAAGCACTTAACGATAATGTAACCGTAAGCTCTAAACGCAGTGTCTTTCTAACAATGTCTTAAGTAACAGCTTAGGCAAAATCACTTAGATACAACAAAGTCTTTCAAATGGCTAGGTTGTGTGGAAGTCCGACCACTGCGAGTAACTGGTAAACCCACTGGCTTTAAAGGCATAGACGATGTTGAAACATCTGCAGGATCAGGACTTGAGTTAGGTTGTCCTGTTTCAGTGGCCCTTTTGGGAGGTGGAGATTCCTCAAATTCCTGTGAGGTTCCTGGCACTGGCTCATTAGGAGAGAGTGGTGCAATGGACGTTATATCTGGTATGCTGGGGGTCACAGGGTTGTTACTGTTACTGGAACCTACTGGTTCTCTGCTGCTTCTGAGATGTCTCCTATTTCTTCTAAAAAGTCGACCATCCTCAGTTCTCACATCATATGATCTCACATCGACTTCCTTTTCTACTCGCGCCTTGTACCATTGGTCAGACTTATCAGTTGGCTTGACACGCACAACATCTTCACTGTTTAGGGGTGGTGGTTCTTTAGCACTAATATTGTAGTATTTTGCTTGCAACTGTTTCCTTCTGAAGAGTTTATCTGGCACCTCTTCCACTATCTTGGGCTTCAGTAGTTGACTGGTGGTTGGTATCAGTGTTCGAGTTCGACGACCGAACATCCTTTGTGCTGGGGAGCTCTGTAAACCCTCGGAGGGGGTATTTCTCCATTCTAGCAGGACTAGGTAGATGTCTGATCTTGCAGCTTTAGATTTATTCAATAAACACTTGGCAGTCTTGATTGTGTTTTCTACTTTCCCGTTACTCTGTGGGTAATGGAGAGAACTGGTCACATGTTCCCTGTCATAATTGGTCGCAAATTGCAGGAAATCATGGGAGTTCAATGGTGGACCATTGTCACTCATCAGCTTACTGGGAATCCCATGCCTTGAGAAGTGTTCTGTTAGGGTATGAATGACTTCTCTGGCAGTCTTGTCTTTGAGTGAGTCCATCTCAAAGTAGCTTGAGTAGTAATCCACAGTGCAGAGATAATCTCCACTGTCAAAATGAAAGATGTCAACTCCAAATGTTTCCCAGGGACGGCTTGGGATCTCATAAGAGATTAGTGGTTCTTTGAGCAGTTCTTTCTTGTAGCTGGCACAAATCTCACACTTGGAGATGTAATCTTTAATTTCAGCAGGCATTCCCGGCCAATAGACGACTTCTCGAGCTCTGCGAAGGCAGCTTTCAATACCAGAGTGTGCACCATGTAAACGTTCACAGATTTTAGGTCTGAGACTTGATGGAACCAGGCATCGAAGACCTTTGAAGAGAACTCCATCCTGGGCTGTCAGTTCATCTCGGACATCAAAGTAGGGGTGAAGTTCCATTGGCAGATCATCTTTCTTCTCTGGCCAGCCCTTAAGGATAACTTGTGTGAGGGACTGTAGGACGGGGTCGGTTGCTGTTTCTTGCTGGATCTCTGGAAGTTGTGGTTCTGAGATGGCTAAGAAATCGACAGCATGGATACGCTCAACCTCTTTTTCAGTCGGGGAGCGATCGGTGGTTGTCAGATAGGCTCGGGACAAAGTATCTGCGAAATACATTTCAGGACCTGGCTTGTAACGAATCTCTGCATCGTATTGTTGTAGTCTCAGGAGTAGTCGCTGAAGTCGTTTCGGTGCTGACGCTAAGGGTTTCTTGCAGATAGTCTCCAAGGGCTTCTGGTCAGACCACAGAACAACTGTTTTACCATAACGAAGTGATGGTTACGCTCCATTCCAAACCAAATACTTGGGCTAGTAATTCTTTCTCTATTTGGGAATAGTTCTTCTCACTGGCTGTGAGAGCTCTACTCGAGTATGATACAGGTTGCCCATTCTGCATTAATACAAATCCAATACCACTGGAGGATGCATCTCCCTGGCCTTCCACAGGTTCAGCAGAATTAAAATATCTCAGGACTGGAGCTGAAGTGACAGCATGCTTGATACTTTGAAACGCTTCTTCTTGTGCTGCTGACCAACTCCATTCAACATCCTTGTGGGTTAATCTTCTCAGTGGCTCAGAAAGTTCTGAGAGCTGGCTTAGAAACTTGGACAGGTAATTCACTAGGCTTACTAGTCGTGTAACTGCGGCTACATCGTTTGGTCTGTCCATTTTCAGTATGGCATCGACTTTCCTTGGGTCAGGTTTCACTCCTTCAGGTGTAAGAACATGACCAATGAAGGTTCTGAACACTTCAGTTGTAGCTTCTCTCGGTTAAGCTTCAAATTTCTCTCCCTGCATCTGTCCAACAGGCTCACCAAATTAGTATCATGATCTTTCACAGCTTCGTCAATGCTCGTACCACGGCCTGTAATAAGGATGTCATCTGCAATCTCGTATATTCCATTCAGGCCTTATAAATTCTGATCCAGTTTTCTCTGAAGTATTCTGGTGCGGAAGAAATTCCAAAAGGCATTCGCAGGTATCTGTATCGTCCCCACGGAGTTTGGAACGTCGTTAACTTACTGGATTCTTCATCTAACTGTATTTGCAAAAAGCCATCTTTAAGGTCTGCTATGGAAAACACTTTAACATTGGTTAACTCCGGCAGTATGTCTTCCATGACTGGTAGCGGATAGTGACTTCTTTTCAGGGCCTTGTTAAGATGCTGAGGGTCAATGCATACTCTAAGCCTGCCATTTGGTTATTCTGTAACAACTAGACTAGACACCCAGTCGGTTGGTTCTTCGTCCTTAACTATTACAATTGCTTTCTCCAGGCGAGTCAACTCATCTTTTAACCTATCCTTCAACGTTAGAGGCATGCGGCGAGGGGGCATAATTGCAGGTGCCACAGTCATATCTACTTCCAGGTGAAGAGCTCCTTCCATACATCCTAAGCCTTTGAATACATCACTGTAAGAAGCACTAACTTCCTCCATGGTTAGACCCTGACAGGCACTTTTAACCACTGTCTCAGTATCATTTAGGATGTTTTCGTGCTGAACGGTGATCAATCCTATTTGCTGGGCTGATATAGCCCCAAGAAGTGGAGTGTAGTCTTCATCGATGACCACAAACGGAACACGGTATTTCTTCTGATTTTTCGGGTTACGCAACTGAATTTTTGCCACACCCTACTGCACTCCAACCAATCTTTAAGTTTTTCTTGAAGTCAAAAAATCTAAAATCATTTATGACGTCCCGAAAAATCCACTCCACTGACATTCGCACTTTACTCATTGACTTATTGAACAACTCCATTTGTTGAGTGAGCCTTGCTTTGTTTCTGAATGGGGCTTGCAAATGTATCCTTAATGGATATGCTGGATCACCATATATGCAGAAGGGTACGCCCATTGGTGAAAATGCATTCATGTTTAAATCATGCAGAAAACCTGACTCTGCCAACATAGCTGCATCATGCATCTTCCCTTCTGAAAAGAAAAATAACCATGCAAAGATAAAATGTCACACAGGCCACATGTTCTAAAACATGACACCTAATGATCATAGTTGCCTTGAAAGGACCCTAATGGGCTACATTCTCTTAGGGTACATGTACACTCGATCACGACAGGTGATCAAATTTGGGGACGTCACAAATGATTTTAAATTTCTTGACTTCTAGAAAAACTTAAAGATTGGTTTGAGTGCTGTAGGAGAAATGTACATTGTAGGTGCCATATTACGGAACTGTCTGACAGCTTATATGGTAACCTAACAGCTGAATATTTTGATGTTCAGCCACCAGTTTTCGAAGACTACTTTCGCTAATTATGGAAGACTGCTAGATGTGACGATATTGCATTGTCTTAGCATCCAATCAGATTTCAGTATTTACACGTGCGCGCCAACTTGTTTTGACTCTCTCTGGTTTTCCTCGTCATGGCCGCTTGTAAGTTGCTTGTGAGTTCACAATGTTCTAATTAAACGAGTCGAAGTTTGAGAACGTGAGCCAATTGAGGAGTGGCCGACCGGAACCCCGTTTGGTAAAGACAAGCCAGTTTTCATTGACGGATTTAGCAGTTTAACACGTTGACGCCATCAAAATATAGTCAAATATGGCGAGTGAGACAGAGCTGAACAATGAAATGCTACGTCAGCGGGTATACGGTCAACAACGCGGGCGCTCAAAAGTCCTAGGTCTAAGATTTAGTGAAATTAGCGGAAAATAATAAGGGCTGACCTTTAAAACCGAGGAACTCTGTTTTCGTCAAAGGCACTTTCCTATTTCCAAAGGTTTAAAGGCGAAAATTAATTTTTGAAAATTTTTAGGGGGTGTATCAAATTTTTGGAGGTTGTTCTGTAAAAAAAAAAGCGGCAAGGAAAACGACGCCTCGAAGCAACAGAAAGGAAATCAACCATGCGAACGACTCAAAATCCGTGTTTCGGCGGCAAAACCTGGCGCATGCGTATACGTTATTCAGCTCTGTCGGCGAGTGACTGTAATGAGACCTCTAGTGCTACCGCACCTTCGACAAGCATTATGGCTTCTCCATTTATGTGCAATGTATCTCTACCGCCTAAACTGGCAGTATACAGTGGAAATTTCTCTAAAGAATGGAGACAATGGCGACAAGTCTGGGACGCTTACGAAGAGGTGACCGACTTTCGTAATAAAACAAGTCGCCTTCGCGTTGCAACGTTCATCACTTGCATCGGTAAAGAAGCTCTCGAAATCCATAATGGTCTACCTTTAAGCAGTGGAGAGGAGAAATCAGACCTGACCAAAGTCCTGGAATTGTGGGAGACGCATTGCATCGGCAAAACCAATATTATTTACGAGAACTACAAATTCCACAACCGTTCACAAGAACAGACAGAATCAATCGATACGTACGTGACCGCTTTTCAAGCTCTAGCCGAAACTTGTGAATTTGGAACCTTGAGAGACCATCTAATTCGCGATAGAATTGTCTGTGGAGTAAGAGAAAACGCTGTTAGAAGGAAATTATTACAAGAATCTGGGCTTACTCTGTCAAAATGTGTAGATATCTGCCGAGCTGCGGAAGCTAGTCGGCACAGCTCAAAGAAATGACGCCGAGCCAGCACTTGGGTGAGATTGATTTAGTCTCGAAAACAGAGTCTAAAAACTCAACTTCACGCAAGGAAAAGACGAAATTCCCTAATAATAACCAGCTCGTCGAGAAATGTAAGTTTTGTGGCGGTCAGCATGAGCGTAATAGAGCGAAATGCCCCGCATACGATCAAATCTGTTTTTCGTGTGGAAAACTTAATCACTTCGCTGTAAAATGGGGAAACAAATCCGAGAAGCCTTCCCAAAAATCCAAACCCAGAAAGGTCCATCAACTTGCCGAGAGCGATGACCCAAGTTACTCATCTGAAGAAGAAATCTTGTCTGTATCTTCTCAAAATGTTGTCAATACCGTGGAAATGTCTGAATTCAAGAGTAAAATATTCGCGTACTTTGCAATCGAAGATTTGTTAGTGAAGATGCAAGTTGATCCCGGAGCTTCGTGTAATGTGTTACCTCAGAAATTCCGGCCGAGAGGTACTGTGGTTGACACAACCGAAGTAGAATTAACCACCTACTCTAAAGCTAACTTAAAGGTACAGGGTGTGGCAAAAATTCAGTTGCGTAACCCGAAAAATCAGAAGAAATACCGTGTTCCGTTTGTGGTCATCGATGAAGACTACACTCCACTTCTTGGGGCTACATCAGCCCAGCAAATAGGATTAATCACCGTTCAGCACGAAAACATCCTAAATGTTACTGAGACAGTGGTTAAAAGTGCCTGTCAGGGTCTAACCATGGAGGAAGTTACTGCCTCCTACAGTGATGTATTCAAATGCTTAGGATGTATGGAAGGAGCTCTTCACCGGGAAGTAGCACCTGCAATTAGGACTGTTGCACATGCAATTATGCCCCCTCGCCGCATGCCTCTAACGTTGAAGGATAGGTTAAAAGATGAGTTGACTCGTCTGGAGAAAGCAAGTGTAATAGTTAAGGACGAAGAACCAACCGACTGGGTGTCTAGTCTAGTTGTTACAGAATAACCAAATGGCAGGCTTAGAGTATGCATTGACCCTCAGCATCTTAGCAAGGCCCTGAAAAGAAGTCACTATCCGCTACCAGTCATTGAAGACATACTACCGGAGTTAACCAATGGTAAAGTGTTTTCCAGAGCAGACCTTAAAGATGGCTTTTTGCAAATACAGTTAGATGAAGAATCCAGTAAGTAAACGACGCTCCAAACTCCGTGGGGCCGATACAGATACCTGCGAATGCCTTTTGGCATTTCTCCCGCACCAGAATACTTTCAGAGAAAACTGGATTATTCATTTATTTATTTATCATTTATTTATTTATTATTTATTTATTTATTATTTACCGCCTCCCGGTTAGCTCAATGGATAGAGCGCTGAAAACATGAGAAGACACACAGGGCTTGCACTGTAAGTATCCAAGAGAGCATCATGTAATTCCGTATAATTTTATTACAAGGAATTGTATGGAGCTTTTTTAGCGTTAGTCGTGGCGCGGCGGGTGTTGTCATGTATGATCCTTGCAAGGATCATATTTTACAACACCCACTGCACCTCGACTAATGCTAAAAAAAACTCCATACAATTCCTTATAATTTTATTATAAGGAATTATATGGGGCTCTCCGAGATACTTACAGTGCAAGCCCCGTGTGTCTTCTTATGGTTGTGCGGGAGGTCGAGGGTTCGAGCCCTGGCCGGACCAACACTCAAGGTCTTAAAATAATTGAGAAGAATATGCTACCTTTCTATAACATCAAGAAATGGTTAGATATTCTAGTCTTCTCGGATAGGGATGAATAAATGGAGGTCCCGTCTCCTGCAGAGTTAGGGGTAGGAGACGTTAATTTCCCACGCACGAGGTTACAAAGTGTGTGATGGATGTCCTCCTCTGGGGTGGGATAGGTGGGTTTGTTGGAGCTTAAACCTCGTAGGGGACCCATGTCCTATTGTTTCTGCTCCAGTACTTGGTACAAATCATTAAATAAATAAATAATAAATAAATAACAAAATAAACAATTGTATAGGAAAGTAAAAATTAAAACTTCGCACTACAGATCTGTTTCGAAAGGGTTAAAAAGTCCTCTCTTGTCAGGTGCATAAGATACTGGTTGACTAATGATCCTTTTTTAAGATGGTGGTTTAAGCATGCCTTAACAAGTATTTAGTTGAGTGCCGGCACGCAATCGCCAGTTCGTTACTTTTGTTTAGGGTGCCCGCCCCTATTGAACGTTGGTCTTATCGATGACGGCTTTGTTTATCTTACTGTCCTTGTTGATGGAATCGACTGCGGAAAGAGTCTTTTAAGTGGGTGGAGACATCGTAAAAGTTCTTGGAGTTTCTTCAAACACATTGATTCATTGTACCTGGACAGAAAGTCTCTTTAAACGACGCCATTTAATGAACACGCATGCCACTTACCACTTTCGCGGAAACGTCCGCGTACTCATTTTAGTCACGTTGGCTTAATGTTTACAAGTGACATGACCGACGAGGTTCTGGTTCCCAGTTTTTTTCGATTATGGTGTCACGTCCGCGTCATAGATTTGTTCGATGCTTAAGATCCCTTACATCCCGGAAGAGTCACCCGCGGGATACTAAAAATTCCGAGACCGAGGCCACAGGTAGCCCAAAGAAGAAGACTTCAGAGAGGGAGAGTAATTCAATATCTTCAAAGACATCCTCAGACCGTCTGTTTCCTCAGCAACCATCCACCCTCCCCCCCACACACACACCTTACGTTCGCATTAATCGACTCCCATGTAAGTCTCAAATTTCGCGCGCATTCTGGCCGATGGGCAATGATCTGAGAGGAAGTAAAAGGTCTGTGGACCCCTGACTATGAAGTCAAGTCGATGAGGCACAACTTAGGAACGAGGTTGAATGAGGCAGTTTGCTTGCCTTTTGTCCCTTATATTTTCGGCGCGGGGAAGGGAGGGAAGAACTTAAAACTCCTATGGGTAAGCGAGAAAGAGGCTGAATGCGCGGTATCTGTTAGTTTAGGAGTTTCTGCAAAATCTTTTCTAAGAATCCCAATATTAATGTCAAACTAAATGCTCTCTCCAACACTAACTTTATTGTAAAATAATTTATTCCTACAATTAAAATAAGCATGTGCTAAAAATTAACTAACATCTGATACTGTTACAAATATATCTAAATGGATCCTTAACTGTTTATTTATCATATTTTTCGACATTACCAATATGGCGTTCGTTAAGATGTCTTTGTACATATCGACCCTTGTTATGAAAATATAAAATGAAGCCAAGGGGGGGGGATACAACATTATTGAAAATTCATTTTTGTTCCCTAGTCAACTTTGAAGTCTAAATACTTGTTCACTTTTTGTATCTGCCTGAGGGAATTATCTGTGACAAAAACCTGCTATAAATACAAAACCTGAGCATCACAGCCTGAGGAACATTAGTAACTGTCGCAAAATACGTATTTTTTTAATGGTGAGTTAAAATCACGATCGTTCACCGTTTAATTTTCAATGCGATATACTAGTATTAAATGAACATTTCATTATCCTCTTTTTTGTTTTGTTTTGCTGTTGTTGTTTTTTTATTTATCGAGAGCGAGACCATCAAGAATATTTAAGACTATATATATAAAAATGAACATTTGCTCTTAAAATGGCTTGCTTCACGTAAAATATACAAGTAAGACTTGGGTAAACATTTAAACAGGTGTATTCTCGTACGAAAACAGCGGGAAAAGTCCCGTACAAAAATTCACGTTTGACATTAATTGATTAGACTGGCTAAGTAAAAAAAACCTCCGATTATTTAGAGCAACGTCGAACGAATGTACTAGCTTGCAAAAGAAAAATTTAGGCCACACGCTCGTAACACGCAACTTTGTCCAATACTCAATACATTATTCACACTCTCGATTAATGGGCTACACCCTTGAACCTTAATTTTGTTAAACAATTGAACTATGAAAATAAACTGCTCTTTTTAAATCACTCAACCTGAAATCTTATTCAGGTATTCTACTTAATCCATTTTCTTACCTAGCGCTGATGAAATCGCATTGTCAATACCGTGAATTCAATTAAAACACACTGTTTCTCCAAACGTATTTGGATGATTAATTTCACCTTCATCCACACGTACAAAGAAAAATAGGGCAATTCAACATGAAGCTAACTACAGCAACGAAACCTTCAAACGCAGCTCTTCCCACTAAAGAACTAAGGAAGTTCTTTCATACGGTAAAAAAAAAAAAAATGTTGGATCGTTTGCTCTTCTACGACTTCGCAACGAACATGTTACATAACAAGTAACAAGTTACACTGACTACAGGGAGGACCAGCTTTAGCAATGGCAAATAAAACACATTTGAAATCCAAAAAGCTATACTTTCCATGGACGCCGTTCAGCCAGAAAATTGCAGGGACAGGAGAAACAATTTGAGCACATTCCTGATTCAAGTAGAGTGAAATCAAGTTCTATTTGACTGGACAAGCAGCTGTAAGAGAAGTGGACCCTCCTGATTTGAGATCAACATGATGTTGACTGTAGTAGTCGACCAATTCCACTATGGTGTCGAATTGCTGTAGGAATTAGTAACGATGAATCAACAGATCAGTAGACCAATATGGAATGTCCGTCCAAACCTGTATTAAGCGATCACCCACCGCTTAATACAGGTTCCCCAGATAAGAAGTAAGATAAAAAAAAAAAACGACATACAACGCCACTTTGTGCCATAATTGACCACTTAACGTGCAGAATCTCGCTAAAAAATACTACTTACTTTGATTTTGAGAAAGAAACAAGAATTAAATTTAAAATTACTTGAAAGATTAATCTTGATTTTATATGAGTGGTTTGGTTTTTATACAGGTGGAAGACGATACAAACAGGTCTGTGGGACTTGGTAAAAGGTGACCGTGAGTGTCTAATAGTGTTGACCGCCTGGTGTAAAATACAGTAATTAATGGGAGACAAGGTGCTTTGGCAACCGACTGCTTAATACAGTACTGCTTGGACTAGGTTGGACTCTATAGGTCTATTAACGATCCATTCATCACCCAATAAATTGAGCAATAAAACCAATTTTCAATTGAGTATCGAAGGTCAATCGGGATTGCTTTGGTTTTGCTTCACTTGGTTATGTGATTGGTCCAGAAAACTCGCACCTCATCCTGCACCAATCAGATTCAAAATTAAAAGCGAAACGCGACATGATCGCGGGCGTTTTCCCACTTTCGGCAGAATGCGTAGTTTTACTTAGAGTTCTACTTGGCTAAAGATGATGTCAACCTTCGCTCTGATTTGTTGTTGTCATATCTTTGGTTTTGGTTTTCGAAACTCAATGAAAACTGCTGTACATATAGAGTAAACGTTGATTCAATGTGTTCTATACAGGACACACAGAACTTCTCTCCAACTTCCTGTCGGTTTACCGTTCCGTCCGTGTTAGTCAGTAATCAATAGTCAGTTGATTGCTTCGTCAGTCTGACAGATGTTCGCTTCGTTCGTTGGTAAGTTACCTCATAAGCCAGACGGCCAGTGAACCACATTTACTTCAAAGGGTCAGTTATCATTCCGCTTTTGAGCCGCGCAGTTCATTGAGTAAATCAGCCGCTTGGCTTGGTCGACTGGCCAATTTGTCAGTCCGTCAATCACCTAGTCAGTCGGCCAGTCAGTCAGTCAGCCAGCTAGCTAGCCAGTCAGTCAGTAAGTCAGTCAGCAAGTCAATCAGTCACTTAGCCGGTCATTCAGCTAATCAGTCAATCAGTCCGTCAGTCAGTCAGCATCTAATCGGTCAGTTACCAACACAATCAGTCTACGGGATGATAAGTTAATTGGCTGATCGTTTATTCGGTCAGTCCAGTGGTAAGTGAGCCAATCAATCGTCGTTCCATTGTCTCCAAGTCAGTTATTCTTTATTTCGCTATATACTTGTTACCCAGCAATTGATTACTTACCACTTTTCCACTGTCTCCAAGAACATATTTCTTATTTTGGAGCCGAGGTACTCTAGCATAAGACGAAGAACAAACAGCATTGAATAGCTATTAGAGTTTCGATAAAAAAAAAAAAATATATATATATATATCACCCTCAGTGATGTTGAGGCACCCTCAAGAAAAATTACATACCCTTAGCAACTATTGGATGAGGTTAGGCATCATATCATGAATTATCAACCCTGAGGTCTGGGGGCTGAGGCAGATAACACAGCCACAGGGTTTGATAATTCATGATATCGTGCACAAGCAAGTTCGATAATTGTTCATTTCTTAAAAAGCGTTCAGCCATTTTTTGTTTCTCGTTAAGTTTGCAAAAGTATAAGAAGACTACACCGACAAAGGGCTTAGAAATTAGGCAGACTTTGAATTCAACATGATAAAGAAAATATCCGCTTCAGACATTGCATTTGTCATGAAATATTTACTCGCTCTTGTATATTAATTGAATGCTCTCGACCTGTCTTTTAGTCTAATGCTGTGAAGTAGTTCCTACGTAACAAATAATTTTCCTGCACTCTGTAGCTGAAAAATCCGCCTGTTACCTATCACGCTACCACAGAAGAGTAATACTACATATGTGTCGACTCACCTCAGATGCCGCACACTTTTGTTGAAATACAACGACATTGAATAGCTATTAGGATCTTTTGAGCTGTTGCGCACAATAAATGCCCCTTCCTATAGAGAGAGACAGATGTTGAGCCTTAGAACGACAGCGATTGTTTGTAGAATGACCAGCAAAGACAGAGAAATAATAGCTTGAGTGTAGTTGATAGATTGACTGAGTAGACTCTCTAAGTAGCTATGTGAGTGAGTGAGTGAGTGACTGACTGACTGACTGACTGACAGCCCAACTGACTGACTGACCGACAGAATGATTAATTTCCTCAACAAAGTCAATAAAAATGGAAATGAGAAAATCTTAGAAGAAAGGGAAAAAAACCTGGAAGCAGACCTTAGAGAATGAGTTCAAGGCGTTTTCGGCTACTTTTTTGTCCAAAGAGCCAAGGAACCAAGGATACTGCTTCAGCGAATCAGCGGGCTGAAAAAAAGAAAAATGGGTGGAACTGTAAATCGACAGAGTATTTGAAAGAAAATGACTCCTGTGGATAAGCAAATTAAATAATTCAATTTACCCTCGCGTCTGGTAGAGGAGGAAACGCCTGAGATTTCCTTTGAGGATCTAAATCACTACAAAAATAGTAGAAGAAATACAAAATCAGAATAATAACACATAATCAACAACCACACAAACATTTTCAAAACAGGAGTAGTGGGTTGCTTGGCCGACCGAAAAAAAAAACAAAAAACAGAAAAACAGTTGCAGATTGAGATGACCAAAGTAAACAAGATTTAAATACTAACACGCAAGGGCCAATTTAGTTAAAACGCGATGACTGAAAATTATGTTGCAACAAATATCTTTTGAAGATGTTGATTATAAACTCATTGTACCACAAAAAAATTCTTTTTTCACATAACGGGAGAGTGCAAAAGTAAGAACACGAAAGGATACATTCATCATCGGAATAGATAGGCATGACTGCATGACTGTATGTTAACTATAAATGTTAATTTTGTAAAATGTATTGGAGTGATGTGATCAAAGTGTGTTGTAAGTTGTGACCGTATAACAGGAATATTGTTGGACTTAGCATAGGACAGTACTTGTCTCCAACAAACCTCAATCTTGATGGCAGCTTCGAAGGAGGCTGCAAAGAAAACAAATTAACAAATTACAGCATGTAAAAAATTGTTTTGAGGAGCATAGAGAAAATATCACCCAATACGAAGATGATATATTATTTAAATCCAGAAGTTTGATACAAGACAGGGATTCCACATTCCCCCACATTGCACTGAAACTATATACAACTAATTGCAGTAACACTGTCACAGAAAAAAGAAAGAAAAAAAAGGCAAATTCGAATTTATTATTTTATTACATGACTCGGGCAGTCAGAGGGCCAATAACTAAAATCAACCAATCAAAATGCTCTATTGCCGGTCCAATATTCTCTAAGTATTGGACCGGGCACTGTCCCGAATGGTCCCGAATGATACCGCACTTGTGTCCCTTTGAACTTCAGTCGTATAATAAATCTCTTATTAACCAAGCTTGCTCGGGACCGTACTGGAAGAATATCGGCCCTCGGTCTTTTTTGTACGGACCTCGCTGCGCTCGGTCCGTACTGTCAAGACCTCGGGCCGATATTCTCCCAGTACGGCCCTCGCGCTTGGTTAATAAGATATATAAACAAAGCTCCAATGAGCTAAATGATGTGGCAAGATTAAAATGACTTAGAAGTACTTAACACTAAAGGATAACCTACAGACGGAAATAATTCAGTAAAAGATAGGAAACAAACAAAGTACTTGAAAACA